TCTGCTGCAAGCCCGTCTGCTGCTACAGACCCTCCTCCTGCGTGTCCCTGCTCTGCCGCCCCGTGTGCAGGCCCGCCTGCTGCGTGCCCGTCTCCTCCTGCTGTGCCTCCTCCTGCCAGCCCAGCTGCTGCCGCCCGGCCTCCTGCGTGTCCCTGCTCTGCCGCCCCACCTGCTCCCGCCCGGCCTGCTGTGGTGTCTCCTTGGGCCAGAAGTCCTGCTGCTGACCGGCCATGTCCTCAGGCCAGTGGGCTCAGGCCCCACAGGGAGGTGACAGCCATATCCTGAATTGCTCCCGTCCTCTGGCTATTTCCTGGTGTCTGCTGGTCCAGCTGCTGCTGAGCTGGACGATACAGAAACACTAAATGTTTATACTCAGCTTTTTGGAGGGCTCCTGGCAAGTCCCTGTCCCCTATGTGGTCACCAGTCCCAACCCCTGGCCCTCTGCCCCTTCTCTGGAGGCACTTGAGCAAACCGACCCATAAAGGCCCTCGACTCTGAACCTGCACTGGCCCCATATGTGCCCACTGTGCTCCGGCCTGGGCCCCTGCGCACAGCTCTGCTGTCCCTCGGATCCTCTGAGCTCTCCTGGACCCGGGGCACGTGGTGCCCGGGGTCTGTCTTGGACGGGAGAGGGTGGGGCTGGGCTTTGAGCCCTTGGGCGTCTGGTCGGGATCCTCATGGGATGCCCCACCCTGTGCCGGGGCTTCCGTAGCTTTGCCCTGTGACCTCCCCTCCTTCCACACGGCACCTGTCCAGTCGGGAGCAGGACCTTCTAGGTCTGTTTTTCCTGCGCAGTGTCAAAGGCCTCCTGCGAGAGTCCATCTGTGCTGGCCGCGACCCCGCGCACCTGCTGACCTCACTGTGGTGTGGTCCCTCCGACCGCTTGGCACCTGGCCAGGGCCGGGCCCTGAGAGTCACCCTGCACCCCACTGGGTCTGGTGGGGAGTGGCTTGGCCTGAACAGACACCAGGGGCCTTCTGCATGTTTTAATAAACGTTTTAAAATTCACTCCTGGAACGAGCTGCGTGGGAGCTGCTGGACTCCAGGCCGAGAGGCCGAGGGGCAGGTGCGGGGCCTGCCCATCACAGGTGCCCACGCTCACGGGGGCCATGGGGTACAGGACCGAGGAGCCCTGCTCGGAGTGTGTGGGCGGAGCGGAGACAGCCACTCCCGGCCCAGAAGCTCAGGGTGTGCACCCAGCCAGCTCTGGTCGGGGGAGGAGTCTGCTGGGTGGCCCCTGGGGACACTGGACCCGCCAAGGCCTGGGGGCTGCCACCCATTTCCCCTGGGGTTTGGCTGGGCCTCAGCTGGACCCTCGCATGGCTGTTCCTCTTGCTGAAGCCTCACCGCACGAGTCACTGAGTGAGCGATCCCGCGAGGGAGGCCTGACTGCAGACTCCTGTGGAGCTGGCAGGGAAGGTGGGAACCAGAGGAAGGGACGGGCCGGCGGCAGGGGGCAGGAGCCCTGCCACCAGGACTGACCGAGGCCACTTGTCCTCTCACCCAAACACCTGGACAATGGAGTGTGTGACTATCTTCTCACAGGGGGGGGCTGTGGGGACCTGGGGCCCCTGGAGAAGGGGCAAGCTGCCGCCCACCAGGAACCCGCAGAGTGCTCTCCTGAGCTCTGGAAACCGCAGCTCGGGGTCCAGGCAGCTGGGAGCGCGGGGTAGCACAGGAGGAGAGGGACCTACCCCGGGTGGGGCTTGGAGCTCGGGGCCTGGGCAGAGAGCAACCGGCGCCATGGGAACGGTTCCCAGAGCAGTGGAGCTCAGGGATGCTGAGTCCCAGCAGCCAGAGAGGAGACGCGGAGCACCCGCAGACCTGGGGAGACCTCCTGGGCACCCGCCTGGGTGAAGGTGACCAACAGGAGGCCGAAGCCACACCTCCCACGGTCACGGATCTGCAGCCAGCGCAGGCGATCCCTGCAGACGTGCGCGAGGATCCTAGAGGAGCCGGGCTGGAAAGAGCATCGGCGACCATCGGGGGAAAGGGCCAGCGAACAAGAAGACACAAGAGAAACGAAGCCAAAGGGCAGGAGGAGGAACAGCGGGGAACTTCACACAGCCTCGGGGGTTGAGGCTACAGACTCACGACAACGAGGCAGAAACCTAAAAACCACCAAGTATTCACCACCAAATGTGATCAAGTTGGTGATCATGCAGAAAACTTGAAATGACTCTAAGCCAGCCGCTAACCAACACGACTGCACTGTCCCCCCACACGGGGCCACGCGCACTGTTCCACCCCACGGGGCCACGCGCACTCGTCCCCCACATGGGGCCACGCGCACTCTTGCCCCCACATGGGGCCACGCGCACTCTTGCCCCCACACGGGGCCACGCGCACTGTTCCACCCCACGGGGGCACGCGCACGCTGTCAAGAGCAAGTGAACCACATCCAAGCCTGGATACCGGGTGGCGGTGTCCAGGAGGAGGCAAAGAGAAAGAAAGGTTGTGGCAGGAAAATGGTGTTGAAATGAAAGAGCACACTTAAAAATAGTGCCTGAGCTGGGGCTGGGGTTGTGGCTCAGCGGTAGAGCTCTCGCCTAGCACGCACGAGGCACGGGGTTCGATCCTCATCACTGCAAAAATGTAAAATGAAGATATTGTGTCCACCTGAAATCTAAGAATGAATATTAAAAAATAAATAATAAAATAAAAATGCTGCATGAGTCCAGGAAGAGATCACAGTGGAAATGGGCTCAAGTGGGGAGGAAATGAGACATTTTGAACGAAATGAAAATGGGATCACGACACGTGGGAATCTATGGGACACAGCGGCCAGCACCCAAGGGGAGAGCGTGGCTTTCAGTGCTGTTAGAAGAAGAGGAGGAACCCTGAGGTCAGTGAGCTAAGCTTCTACCTGCCGCAGCAGGACAGGAGGAGGAGCCGACCTGGAGTGACAGGAGGGAAGACCAGCCGGGCTGGGTGGCCGACAGAGCGGGCAAGCTGAGGGGACTGAGCCTGCTCTGGAAAGGTGGACGGGTGGACCGTGCTCTCGTCTCGCTGCAAGAAAAGGAAGCAATGAGTCACCAACATGAGAGTCGTGGACAGCATGCCACACCTTCATGCCCACCCTCAGCCTCTCAGGTAGAAYGGGCAAAGACACACATTGTAAAGTCTGGCTCAAGAAAACACGAAGACTGAATAGCTCTGGACCAATTTGAAGGACTGAATGCATAATTAAAATGCCCACCCCAGTGGCTTGCCGCCGACTCTCGGCACGGGTGGAAGCCGTCGTGCCAACGGCACCTGTGGAGAGCAGGGCTGGGACTGGGGTCCCTGGCTGCCCCACGGCTGTGGCGCACCTGCCGCCTGCGAATGTCTCTGTGCCAGGGCATGGGATGCCCGGTTGCTATGGTGATGCCCCACCCCAAGCAGCTCTGTGCATGAATCTTATGGACCTGGTGTCAGGCATACAGCTCCTCTTCAGAGGGGCGAAGACAGCTACGTTGTTTCACCGCTGCGGCTACTTCCCAGCCGGTGGGCTTCCTGAGTGCTGCCGGAAGCTCAGAGCATTGCAACAGTGAAGCAGCTACAGATGTCTCCGGCCCTGTGACTCTAGTGCACAAAGCGTCATGCTCCACAGCCCTTGCCTCCTGACTGTGAGACCCTGGTACACCTGCACGGCCGGCTCTTCAGAGGCTGCTTCCCTCTCAGACACAGTCTCCCATCTGGCCTCAGGTGTCAATCATCGCATCTGTGTGTGCGTGTGTGTGTTTCATCGCCCCCCACCAGTACCTGGGGTTTAGCTGTGCAAGTTGCAGCAGGTACCCAAAGGGCAGAGAGCAGAACCAGAAGGGAAGCTCCAGCTCCCTGTGTGAGAGCGGCCCAGCCCGCTCCAGGGGCCGGCGGGCAGCGAGAGAGGGGCAAGTGTAGACAGCAGTGTTCTCAGCAAAGCCTCGGCAAGCCAAGTCCCGAGACACGCTCTGGCTGGTGAGTGTGAGTCGGGAACGTGAGGTGAGCTTCGCACCCAGAATCAACCCGTGTGTCATGTTAGTAAGTAAAAGGATCAGACCCCAGGACTGTGTTGATAGATGCAAAAGAAGGCATTTGAAAACCTGCTCATTAAATAATAGTGATAAGAGCTCCCAGCCAAGTGCACTGGCCGAGCCTGTAATCCCAGTGACTCGGGAGGCCAAGGCAGGAGGATGGCAAGTTCCAGGCCAGCCTCGCAACTTAATGAGACCCTGTCTCAAAATAAATAAAAAAAAAATAGAAAGGACTGGGATGTGGCTGAGTGGTAGAGCTCCCTGTTCACTCCCCAAGATGGATTCTTTCTAAGAGACCAAGCCCCAGCAAAGCAGGATTGAAAGGGAGCCTCCGGCCTCAGAGAGACAGAAAGCTTTCTCCCCAGAATCGGGACCGGGCAACGCTGCTCTGGTCACTGCGTCCAGCATCACGTCCAAGGCCCTTCCCAGCCAGAAGGTCAGGGAAGAGGCGAGGGGCCTATGTGGGAGAGGAAGGGGAGGGGCCCATCCACCCTCCACACGAGGACGCGGCAAGAGGGTCCCAGGCGCATGCAGAACCCGCTGGACTGAGGAGGGACCCAGAAGCCACGGGTGCAGACCACCCCACAAAGCCGTGGTCCCACGGGTAGCACTCAGCCACTGGAGATGAACACGCAGCACTGACACCTACCAAGGACACACAGATCAACTTAGGGTACGCACAGGATCCGTGCGCTCAAGGTGACAAGGTATCGCTGAAGAGGCTGAAGAGACGGGACCGGCCGGCGAGACAGACCGTGTCCGTGGTGGGAGGCGCCATTGTGTCAGGCGACAGACTTTCCCACCTCTCCAGATAGCCAAGGCCATCTCAGTCAGAATCCACGTCAAAATCAGTGCGTTGGCTCTGGACTCTGTGGGGAAACACGGGGCACCCAGAATGGTCAGCCAACCTCCATGGAGGACGTGCCTCACTGCATTTCAAGATTCAATTTAAAGCTGCGAGTCAATCGAGTCAGCGTGCGGCAGCGTGAGCGCTGGCTTGGCGCAGAGTGGAGAGCGCTGGGGGCCAGGCCTCAGGAGCACGTGCCCGGGTGCTCAAGGGCCGGTGGGCGCCCAAGGGCTCTCCACTCTGCAACAGAAGCAGCAGAAGGCCCTCTACTCGCAAAGTGACCAGGAGACTGCAGAACAGACGCAGCAGTGGGACCAGGAGACAGAGACAGGTATGGGAGGGAACTGGGGCTTGAGCCAAGCAGGCTTCCAGGAGCATGGAGGGAAAAGGACAGATGGACCTGATCGACACCAAGGAAACTGGTAAGAGCACTCTACAATCTCAGCAGCTCGGGAGGCTGAGGCAGGAGAACAGCAAGTTCAAAACCAGCCTCAGCAACTTAKCGAGGCCCTGAGCAACTCAGTCCTAAATTTAAAAATACCAAAAAAGCCTGGGAGTGTGGCTTAGTTGTTAAGTGCCCCTGAGTTCAATCCCCAGCACCAAAAAGAAAAAAGACTCCATTACGATTAAAAGCTGAGCCACCAGCAGGGAGGAGGTTTGCAGAGTGCACACACACACACACACTCTCTCACACACAGTGCACACACACTCACATACAGAGCACATGCACACACAACACACACTCAATACACACATGCACACACACACAGAACACATACACAGTCACACACAGCACACACTCACACACACGTGCACACACACTCACACACAGCACACACACACACAGCACACACACACAGCTACACATAGCACACATGCACACACACACAGCCAAACACAGCACACACACATACACACACACTCTCACACACA